GAAACTGTCCTTGCTTCTTACCATATCCCGCCCCCCTCGATAAAATATCCTGGCTACGGCCTTGCATAGCGTTTTCCCCCTATATTTTGGGGGTCAGAAATCCAAATCTGTCCCTAAGGAGGTGTTTCTAATTTCGTAATTTTAAATATCATCTGTACTAATTAATTATCAAATTAAATGCGATCGCCTGGAGACCTGATTGAGTTCTAGAATAGGAAGATCTGAACATTAGATGAAAAGTTATTCAGGGTGCTCCGTTTTTTCACTCGCGCACTATACAACAATTATTCCAATAGTTTTTAATAATTACTTTTATATCTACTTTTATATCATCCAATTATTTTTTATTATATAAAATAATAAAAAATAAATAAATATTGGTATTAGATTAATAACATTTTCTAATTATAGAATCAATTATCTAATATTATTAATGATTATTAATTGTATCTAATTAAAAATATAATTAGATACAATTAGATTGATAACAATTAGATTAATTAGCAAATTAGAGGTCATCTCCATGAGACCTCAGATTGAGTTTTAGAATGTGAAGATCTGATTATTAGATTAAAAGTAATTCAGGGTGCTCTGTTTTTTAATTCGCGCTCTTATTCCAATTATTTTTCATAATTACTTTTATTTAGTACACTGACACACACACAATTTTACAAAAAAAGATAACTAACATTGTTTATTTATAATACATCAAGCAACCAACGGTATTGTAGATATAAATCATCAATATTGAATGAAAAAAAAAGGTTACAAATGCTTATTTTCTCCCCCCCCCCATAAAAAAAGAAACACTTGGAAAAATAACAGAAAATTGTGACCCGTAAATAGATTAGAGGAAAATAAAATTAAATTAAAACAATATTCATCATAAGACGCAATCATCATTCACTAATTAAAACAATATTCATCATTCACTGTCTTCGTCATCTTCAACGCCCTCTTTAGGTTCGTATAACTGCGTGCACTGCAATAAAAAAATATCAATAATTTAAATTCAGTTTTATTAATGAATTATTATGACAAATTAATTTACTTATTTTCATCATATTATTACATATTTTTAAATTTTAAACAGTATTTAATATTTATATGGTTTCTAACCATTTTATGTAAATAATCCTAAAAAAATTGAAGTTTTAAGATATTACTTGATTAAGAACTTCATTTGCTTCAAAAATATACAAGTCGGAAATAGCAGTCGACATGTTTCAAGCGTTTAAAAACAGGCGCCTATTTTCAAGATTTACAAGACGTGAACGAGAAGAAACAAAAGTGATTTGAAATATAAAAGTTAAAGTTGCCTACAAAAAATGGAAAAATAAAGTTGAGAAAGAAAACTGGAAAACCACAGTAGCCGAGAGAGAAGAAAGATAAAAACAAAACAAGAAAAACCCCAATGGGCGAGAAGGACAAATCAAGGAAAAATGCATTTCCCGTGAGTGATGGAGTCGTGGTGAGGAACTAATTTCTTAAACAAGGGAATAAAAACTCATATGAATATAACACGATTCCAGGATTTCGAGATGAGCTGATGTGACTGGGGTAGAAATAATTTTGGCATTGTCGAAATTGAATTTATGCCCAAGATTCTAATATTCAAGATGCGTAGCAATTTTTGATTTTTCGAATTCTTGATAACGGACATATCTATAATATTCCTATGTCTTAATTCCTGTGATTTTGTTTCCCAACTAGTACATCTGTTTTAACCAACAAAACTGTGCTCTCTCTTAATGTTGTTTCTGTTTTTACTAATGTTACGCATTTCTTACTAGATATTTTTCTTACTAGACAGAGAATTTTTTTACAATTGTTTGAATTCTTATGGTGGAAAAGATAAGTTGATGATAAGCTTGTTTTAGTAGACAGTGATACTAATTTTCAAGAGTTACTCTCTGTTGTCAACTCGGTTGACCTTAACATTAAATTTATTTTCGGAGCGGAAATTGATTTTATTCCACATTTTTTCGATGTTCTTTTGATGTTCAATTAATTTTATTCTACATTTTTCAATTAAATACCCCGATCATTTTCTACATCTATTTATTGTAAATATTTTGCCGTCTTTTTGCCCCTTTATGTTAAGTCTAATCACCCTAATTGTCAGAAAATTTAGATAAGTCTGTTATCAAGAATTCGAAAAATAATCAACTACTGCATATTATGGGAATCTTGGGCATAAATTCAATTTTGGCAATGGTAAAATTATCACCACTAAGTTACATCAGCTCATCTTGATACTCTGGAATCTTTTTTTATTCATATGATTTCCTTGTTAACGACATTAGTCCAACACCTCTTCATAGCGCACAGAAATGCATTTTACTCTGATTTGTCCCTCTCGTCTACTGTAGTTTTTCCTGTTCTGTTTTTCATCTTTTTTCTCTCCCAACCATTGTGGTTTTTCGAGTTTTTTTTCACACCATTATTTTTCCATTTCTCGTTGGCAACTTCTCGTTTTATATTTCAAATCACTTTTGTTACTTCTCATTCACGTCTGGCAAGTTTTGAAAATGGGCGTCTGTTTCTGACAGCTTGAAACATGTTTCGAATTTGTATATTTTTGAAGCGAATGAAATTTTTAAGCGAGCAACATCTAGCTTCTGATTGAATAATATAATTCTTTGTCTTGAGCCTCGATGGCTCAGGGGATAGAGCGTTCGACTTCCAATGAGGTGAACCAGGTTCGAATCCTTGCTATACGAATCCGCACCGGCTTGCACCGACCACAGTGCTGACATGAAACATCCTCATTGGTAGGCGAATCATGGGTTAGAGTCCCTTTTGCCGTCTGGCTAACAGTGGGAGGCTGTCATGGTCTTCCTCTCCATGTAACGTAAATGCGGGTTAGTTCCATTAAAAAGTCCTCAACGAAGGCAAAAATTTCTCTCAATACTTGATCCAGGAGTTCTCTTGTTTTTTGGATTGGGTTCAAAATTACAAGGCTACGGAGTTATGCCGTAAACCCAAAAATTGGTTCGACTGTTCTACGGCGGATATAAAATAAAATAAAATTTTTTGTCTCAGTTATACGAATTCCTACGAATTATGAAAAACAGTTATTATTTGAACAATTTTGAAGTTATACACTCTCTAGATAGATGCTTTGTTGAACAAGCATTATGTCTTTTGCTTTAGTGCCCTGGCTTTTATCGAAAAATTGACACCTTTGTTTCAATTGGGATTTTGATTTTCTCTTGCTAACATCATTCCTGTTTCGATAATTCGCCGTGAAGGAAATTCTTTCAGGCTTCAGTAATAGGACACTAAAAACCCTGTTCTTAATAAATTTGTATCTTAAATTGGAATTTTGAACACTTTTTGACAAGCTAGAGTACTCAAAAGTTAACAGAAGCTTTGTGCCTTACGTTAGTACGACTTAAATAAAAATTTTGAACTACTTTACGACATAAACAAGCTAAAAACCTTAAAATTATAACAAGAAAAATAATGAATTGATTCTTTTTTTTAAATTTTACTTAATTTTTTTTTTAATTTTTAAAAAGTACTTTTTTAAGTCGACTAAAAATGAAAAAAAAGCAAAAAAGTTTTTCGAACCTAAACCTAAAACGAAAAATAAATTAATAAATTAAGTTGCTTTCGTTATAACCCTCTAACGCAGATAGAACACTGGTGTCCCTTTTATATATATTTTTTTCTAAGACTCAAATTACAAATCGAAACATATATATATATTTTTTTAATTATAGAAACCAGTCAAATAGTGACTGAGAAATATCTATTAAATTATCGGAATTATATTTGTACTAAAACATGAAATTCAAAAAAGTAGGTTACTTTTACGTTTTCAGGTTACTTTTATTATTTTATTGAAACGAACACAAAATAAATTAAAGTGGAGAAAATGAACAATGACATAATGAACACTGACATAATGAGTGAGTAAAGCAGTGAGTGTAATTTAGATTATATTGCTGCATATTTATTTCTTACCTTTCCGCCTAAAGATACGGGCAATTGATCTTCATTTATATAATTTTTAATAGATTTCGAATCACAGAAAATTATTTTGGAGACATATCTCTCAGGTATCCATTGTTTGATTATTTTCCAGAAAGCTGAAATAGAAAATATCCTTATCAAACATTGAAATATGCAGGGTGTTCAAAAGGCAATGAAAAGGACAAATAGGCCAAAATATACGAAAAAGAATCAAAAAACATTTAAAAAAAAGTGAAATATTTTAAAAAAATGTCGGCAATTTTAAAATCTCAAATAGAATCTTCCATTTTTTTTAATAGCAGATTTGGACAAATGGCAGCGTAATGGCAAAATGAAATTGAGTTAACAATTTTTTGAAATTGAAATATCTTCTTAGCCTTACTGGCCCATCTTTTAAGTCACTTCGTCGCATGGAATGCCGCCATTTGGTGCTATTTTCATAACTGTTGTGAGTTTGAAACAGATATTCATGATTGTTAGGTTCAGTTAAACCAGGGCTTTCTATGTTATTTCTGAAAATGGTGCAAAACATCTATATGACGAAAAGCTACAGTCATATGAAAACGAAACGTATTTGTGATCTAATTTTTTTATGTTCATAACATTACTCCGAATAATATGCTATTCAGAAAACTATTCATCATTTTATTATTTAAAAAGTTACTCCGAATAATAAGCTATTCGGGGAACTATTATAACTATTTTGGAGAACTATTCGCGAAATTCCATTTTCATAACTGCTGCGAGTTTGCAACAGATATTCATGTATGTCAGTTAAACCAGGGCTTTCTATGTTAATTCTGAAAATGGTGCAAAACATCTACATGACGAAAAGCCACAGTTATGCGAAAATGAAAAGCATTTGTGATCTTATTTTTTAATATATTGAAAACTCCGACGCTCATCCAACGCTCATAACTACAACGCTCATAAACATTTGCAAAAATTTTAAAATTATTCCTCGGCGAATTATAAAAAAAAGTTTAATAACTTTTAAAATACTTTAGTTAACTGGCAAGCATTTTTTTATGGCAAAATGGAATACATAGTTTAAAATTATAATTATAATTTAATTTAATTTAAAATTGTAGCCATGATTACAATTCAAAATTAGAACTAAACGTAACACCTTTTAACTGTGACTTTTTCCATTCTGCTTAGCAAAAGAACTTTCGTCACTTACTATGACAGCCAGCCGTAATGAAAATGAAATTTATTAAGATACAGAGAGTGAATAAGTTAATGAATGAGTGAGGGAATTATTGATTGAGTCAGTTAGTGAGTGAATGAAATGAAAGAGAGCAGAAAAGAAACTTCTTTTCGGCTCTCTTTTAGTTAACGAATGAATAAACAAAGAGTGAAGTCATTTAACGAGTGAATAAACAAAGAGTGAAGTCAGTTAACGAATGGATAAACAAAGAGTGAAGTCAGTTAACGAATGAATAAACAAAGAGTGAAGTCAGTTAACGAGTGACTAACAAATCAGTTGACCAACAATTCAGTAAACTGGTGAATAGGTAAATATGGTAAATCGATAAATATGGTAAATCAGTAAATATAGTAAATCGATCGATGGAAGAATCTGCTTGATTACAAGAAAGTTTAAAAGCTTGAAATTTTGACATAAGGCAGTAAAAATTTAACAATTAACAATTTAACAATCGCAATTCTTTTTTTAATTTGACAATATTAATTGCTTTTTTAAAGCGTAAAATATCAATTACTCTATTGTTATAATACTTCCTAGATGAAATTGCCAGAACAAGATATTATTTTTTTCAGTAACCATGTTTACATTTTTTGGATAAATATTCATTTTGGGCAAGTTCTTGAAAAAGATGCGAATATTTCTTGGAAAAAAAAACATAAACTATTAATGCAAAATGCTTAAAAAAGATTATTTTTTTTAGAAAACAGTATTAAGCAAAAAGCATAAATGATTGAGAAACAGCTTGTGAAATGAACAGGAAAATTCATAATTTCTTCGATTATTGATTTTGATTTAAGAAAAGTAATTCTCTAAAATATATTGATACACTCTCTCCCAAAGTTATGTAAACAAACAAAAATTAAATAAACGGAATATTATTCGCAAAAAAGTTTAACTTCATTTTTTATTATTATAGATATAGCTATATTGAGGCGGTAAATTGAGTAACATTTAGGATTTTTAACGATACATTGAGCTACATTTAGAGCTTTAAAGCTATATTAAGCTCCATTTAAAGCTTTAAAGCTACGTTGAGATACATCTAATTGAGGATTGAGGCATCTAATTGAGGACTGAGGTAAAATTTTACAGTTGCTAGGTATATTTGAATTATTTTTTTTCAAACAGCATGACGATACTTCAAACTGTAATTTTTTATAGCTTAAATTATAATTGTAATTTTTTTTATAGCTTATACCTATAAATCCAAAGATTAAAATTTTTTTTTATATTAAAATAATTTTAAATTTATAAATGACAGCTTATATTTATAAATTTATAGATAAAATGAGCAGAAGTTAGTATCAACTGATTTTGAAATAAAAATTAATCGTTTTATGATTCACAGTAAAAATATAAAATGATTGCTTGCCAATGAGTAAAACCAGTATGTCTAGTTATTTTCTATTTCCTTCTCCCTACTAAACATGGAGAAAATTAATTATCATAAAACATAGTCTCATAAACAGCAAACTCGCAACTCCAAAGCCATAATTTTTTCTTTAAAATTTTAAATCAATTATTAATATTTTTAATATGAAATTAAACTTTTTTATCAACTAAATATTTGTTGCAAAGAAAATATTTTATGATAATTAATATAATCTGATTTTCTTTTAAAACAATATTGATGCGTATCTGAGTAATAAAATAATTACGAGTAAAATCACGATGTTAAAATTTTTTTTACCATAGAATAATTTTCGCTTGCCTCTTCAACGTGTGTGTGGTTTTTACATTTCAGTGTGTTTTCTTTGCACCTTGCAGTAATTATAACCCTTTTTTTCAAGGTAGAAAGGAACAATGGCAGCTGTAATATAGCCAACGGTAGGCATTTAATCGATTATAAGGGCACTAAAACATTAAATCTGTCACTATCAGTATGATTTTTAAATTAAATTTTTAAATAGGTTTATATTTAGTGGTAAGTTTATTTAGAGCTTGATATCTTATGGTGGATGGAATATGATTTTAAAATAAATTTAATTGTAAAGTTTCAGGGCGAATAAAGAGAAATACCGCGCGAATAAAATACAAAAATATGCATAATAAACAGAAAGAATAAGAAAAAGATAAAGCATAAAGATAAAGAATAAGAAAAAGATAAAGAATAAGAAAAAGATAAAGAATAAGAAAAAAAATAGGAACATTTTGTTTTGAACAGTTAATTTTTTTTCCACTGACCGATTTCTGTTTATGGTTACATAAAATATGGGTTTAAATTTTTATAAATTATAACGTATACCATTTTTGTGTGTGGGGGAAAATTGAATATTTTTACCCCTCTAGTAATGACAGTTCTCATTTCAAGGGCGTATAAATCAAGGAATTTGCCAGGGCCATCTGCATATTCTTGCATTCGGCATTGTTTCAGGGGCGTCAATCAACAAAGCAAATTTGCCCTTGCCACTCCGCACCATAGCACGCCATTTATGATTGGAAATAATTACGTCAGATGATCAGCGGAGAAAGGTGTAAAAAAAAAAGGAAATTTTTAAATACCCTGTAACGAATCACGAGACTAACTAAATTACGAAAGAATAACCTGACAAGTTAAGATTTTTAAATTAGTTAAAAAAAATTATAGCTATCAACATAAAGTGTTCCTATAATTTTCATTAAAAAGTGGTAAACAGTCATTTATGGAATACAATGCCTGTTTTTCCTTTCTGAAATAACGAGTATGTCAAACGGATAATTAATTCTACTTCAATTCTGCTGTAAACTAGCATGTTGGCTTGAAATATTAATAATGGTGAGTTTCGAAATCTTATTATGTCAGGTGATATTAGCCAAGGTCGCCGAGTAAGAGGAGTAGCGGAGGGGCTATTAAACAAGATGTGTTGTTGACCCTGATGTTCTTCCAGAATTCAACGTCACTCTCATTGTCTCTGAAGAATTTAATTCTTAAACGTTGGTATTAATTTTTTTAAAGCCATTTATTCACTTGGTTTTGTTCAGCATAATAAAAGGATTTTAAATTAACTTTGAAATGTTTTAAATATAACCATTTATTGCCTGTATATTACCGTTTATGTATGAAATTCGACATTCTACAGAATGACTAATCACTGTATACAATGCCTAAATTCTAATGGCAAAGTATGCAATGATTAATATTTCATACATCGTCATCTAGGTATTCTATAGAATTGCAAATGCTAAGCCAGCAATAGTATGGAATGATGAATATTACTTAGTCATTTTATAGAATACTAATGAAACATTTATAGGCATTATGTACGGTGATTAGGTGGCAAAATATATTATAGGGTTTTGAACTTCGCCTTAAGACTATAGTCATTCTATACAATGACTTGGCATTCTATAGAATGACTAGGCATTTACTATCATTTCATATATTGACGATAACAATTCCATAAAGCCTTATTCGAATTTTTATGAGTTTTCAGTTTATATCAATAAATAAAACAACTCTTTTAACAGATTATAGATAAACTTGATTTTTATTATTCCACTTTAGAATTACCACAATAAAACAAGAGTAAGAAATTGAGAGAATAGTTAACAAAATTACTGCTTGACGAGTTTTTAAAGTATTTGTTTTCAACTAGCAACGTTATTAGAGCATATACAGGAAGAGTAAATAATATAATCGGAGTTGTACGCATTAAAAATTTGTTTTGCTTCAAAATTCGCATCAGATATTTTGCACTACGCTGGGAAAAGTAGCCGAACCCCAGTCAATTTGCACGTTATAACCACATTACTTTGATTCAAAGAATATATTTAATTAACACGAACTAGGGTAATGCACATTTAACTACTTCAAAATAATTTTGATTCACTTAAGACATCCGACTAGTTCCGACAACTTTTTTTTCAAATACAAATATAAAATTTACAAAAATAGTTTATTTGTTTTATAATGTGTAAACATTCAGAAATCTACCAACAAAAGTTATTGTTCTTAAATGACCGTTTTTAGGTAAAAAGAAGGCATTGTTTTGCATTTACGCTAAACACCGTAAAGAAATTTCTATTCCACAAAACAGAAAATACTAGGAGGATATTATTTAGAAGTCTATCAACTATGTTTTAAACTATTATCTTAAAAGCAAGTGCATATACTACTGAGTTAGGGATCAATATAGTTAAAAAAGTAAATGGCTAGTGTTATGACTATGTGTGCTATAGTCATAATTGTAGACAAATATTTTAAAAACAACTCTAGATATCGTGTTTAAGGTGGTGTAAAATGTGAAAAAAATTCTGATTTTGGGAGAAACTCATTTAAAGACTTATAATCACTAGTCTGAGCAGTGTTATAACCTTCTACAAAAACTGCTATAACTTTGTAAGTAAATAGAGTAAAAACAAAAGTGAAGCATTTTTAGAAAGTTTAAATCAACTTTCTAAAAACAAAACTCTAGATATCTATAAAAACAACTCTAGATATCGTGCTTAAGGTGGTGTAAAATGTGAAAAAAATTCTGATTTTGGGATAAACTCATTTAAAGACTTATAATCACTAATCTGTGCAGTGTTATAACCTTCAACAAAAATTGCAATAACTTTGTAAATAAATAGAGTAAAAACAAAAGTGAAGTATTTTTAGAAAGTTTAAATCAACTTTCTAAAAAAAAAAACTCTAGATATCTAGAAAAACAACTCTAGATATCGTGCTTAAGGTGGTGTAAAATGTGAAAAAAATTCTGATTTTGGGATAAACTTATTTAAAGACTTATAATCACTAATCTGTACAGTGTTATAACCTTCTACAAAAACTGCTATAACTTTGTAAATAAATAGAGTAAAAACAAAAGTGAAGTATTTTTAGAAAGTTTAAATTACAGGGATTTTAAATTTATAATAAACTCAATTTCGAAAATCTTGTCCAAAATCATGTTTTTGCCATAGGTTTACATTAAATGTAGTGCTAAATGTAAATTACCTTAAAGGTAATACTTTAGGTTTATAATTATTCGTTACTTATTATATATACCTTAATAGACATTTAAGTGCTGGTCTCGTCGTTCGTAATAGGGCTCAAGTTTATTTATTTTCATTTATTCAATTAATAAACTAGAAAAATGGATTTTACATGAAAATAAAAATAATTTAAAATTACAAAATTTTATTCATTTACGTGAGACAGATGAAAAAGTCAGTCTGTATAAAGAACTTTGAACCCGAAGTATATTTACGATAGCTTATGAATAACATTTCTTTTGAAGTTTTGTAAAATATTTATTTAAAATTTGGTGTTTACAATATTAAAACAAATAGAATTAACTTCAAAAAATGCATGAAATCTATGGATTTGCATGTTTTTGGAGAAGAGTCTATTTGATTTTCCGATAAATTCACGTTATAATGATATTTAAATTACTTAATATTCAAATGTAAAAAATAAAAACTTCTTATAGCATTATAATTAGTAAAAAGGTTTGACATTTAGTTTAAATTTCTTTTTAATTATCTAAAAAATTACACTGAGCAGATTTTTTTTAAAAAATTACTCAATAAAAAATAAATTACATTTTTTAAACCGAAAGCATTTTTTTTTAATATCTTATAATTTTTGACAAATTTTCTTCATTCTCCCGTTTTTGAAAGTTTTAATCTTAGTTTGGTGTCTACAAAACTGAAAATAAATTAAATTAAAATAAAATCAGTTTATAAATATGTATTTTGCAGCTTCTCCCAAGTGTCTTTTTTAACCTTATGATAAATTTAAATTTTATTCCTTAATCTTTACATTTAAATAAATGAATTATGCTTTTATTAAATCTTATTTAAATTCAATCTTTTCATTTATAACCTAACATAACAATGTTTATTAAAATTTTATCAATTTGAATAAATTAATATAATGATTGAAATATAAAGAATTCCTTTTTTTCATGTAATAATTACTGCTGTCATTATGTGACATTGATTTGAAAAAAAAAATGAAGTGACATTTCAAGGTGATCAGGCTATTAAGCGTGACATATGAACCTGTCTGTCTTTATAGAAAATGAAATGGAATAGACTGATTTGTATAGCGCATGACGATGGAAGTTAATTTAATGCTTCAGAGTAAATTATTCAACTAAATAGACAGTTAAAATAAATTAAATAACATTAAATGAGGAAATTTTGGGATTATTTAAATACATACCTGATAAGTACCATGGCATATTGTAAACTAGAAAATAGCCTGAAAAAAAAAACCATTTTTATTATGTCAAAAGTAATTAAAAATGCTAAAACAAAATTAATCAAGGTTGAAAGATCAAACATTAAAAATATTAGATTTCACTCAAAGAATATATCTAAATTTAGATAATACGTATGGAGGTAAAAAAAAAGTAATATTTTATTTATAAATTTTTCTTTACTTTACAACTATTAATTGCCAGTTTTGTATGATTTCACAAGTTTGAAAGAACCTTTACTTAATTAAATTTTTATAAATAATTAAAAACAGTTATTTGAGATCTCATTTTATCATATGTATAATATTTATTTCTCAACTAATTAAGAAAACATGCTTAGAAAATATCGCAAAATTCTTTTACAATTTTTTTAAAATTATAAAAGAATATAAAAACAATATTTGTATTTCATTTTGTGGGATAAAAAAAAAACCAATGCATCGAATAATTTATGGAAACATAGAATTATCGCTATTTTTTCTTTTAGTTAAAAAAATACTTGAACTCCGAACAATTTTTTTAAAGGACTTGCTTCCTATTTAATTATTTCCGCACATAGTTTTTTTTGCGATGAAGTTATAAAATATTAAAAGGTTGATATGATCTAACTTTCGAAAATTTAAAACTTTAAAAAAAATTCTGCTTATAAATAAAGTAAAATCTATATTAAATATATAATGTTAAATAGAAACATTAACAAAACATTATAAATTAAACAAAACGTGTATTAATGTTAAATTAGATGGTTCAGTGGTTAAAAGCAGTCATTGTGAAAGAGTTCGTAATTCTCTTTATTCTACTCCATTTATTTTTATTCTTTTCATTTATTTTTCTTTAAAATTTAAACTTTTTTATCACATTTTGTTTTGCTGATTAAATAAAAACTAATGACGTGACGTGAAAACTATGAACTAGATCGTTCGAAAAGTCGATCGTCAGAAGGTTATTTACTTTTCAAAAGTTAAATGAATTTGGAGCGCTCTGTGTCGAGGAAATCACCTAAATGACAAATTCTGATTAATATAAATTTAATTAAAATTAAATGATGTATTTACTTACCTAATCCCCAGGGGCAATATTTTTTGAAAACTTCGAAAATATATCTCATCATGTCTAAGTCCTAATGAATTGAAAGAAGCAAAATCATTTATATGAAGTTCGGAAAATAATAAAGCTTATATAAATAATTAAATTGCTAAATCAAAACACACATAAACAGGGCTTAAAATATTAAAAAACAAAACAAAAAGAAAACGAGGTAAATGAGCTTAACCCTATTTGACACGCCTACTATAACTCCATTTAGGAATCGAAGTTTTGAAATGATAACCTCCAAAAATTATACATTTTATTTCATTATCATTCCTCCATCTGAATTATTACTTCTTAAATCTTTTCTATTAAGGCATTCGCCCCAATCTTCTTTTATGTGCAATCTGTATCCTTTCTGTAGAACCCATCTTTAATACATACACATAATTAAATTCGAATTTATTTTCTTTGGCGCTATGCTCAGTTAACAGGAATAAATTATAACCAACTCAGCTGTTCTTTAAATGCATGTTTATGCATGATCATGAATTATAATTACTTTAATTAGCATTAAGATGATTTCGTATTCTATGCATGCCTTCATCTGTTTCCTGTTATTTTAGTTGCAAGGATAACCCTTGACTGTCAAATTCTTGGCTGTCAAACCCTTGACTGTCAATCGATGAAACTTCTTTTTAATAAAAAAAAAAGCAATCTTTATGTCTGGAATGATTTGTGAAACATTTTTTCATTTTATTCGGCATGTGATGCAGAATTGGACTTGTTTCAAAGTCATGGAAGTTGCTGCAAATTTAATGCTTAAAGCATCTGATATAAATACGCTAAAAGAAAGTTACATATAGAATGAGTTTTGTCCAAATAATCGTATTTTAATGTTACAGGGTAATACTAAGTGGTGTGTGTATGTTAAGGGGGAATTTTATCAAATAATACAATGTGCCTAATTTTGTACCTAATTCCATTCGGTTGCCTAGCAACGGGGAAAACTTATTTCATTAGATTTTGCTTATTGCTTCGATTAGTTTTACTTGCCTATATTAGTTTTACTTGCTTTAGTTTTACTTGCTTTAGTTTTACTTGCTTTAGTTTTACTTGCTTACATTATTTATTTTCAATGGTTGCTAAGCGACGAAATTTGCGGATAAATTTTTCTTAAATACCCTATAGTGCTGTCTTGTAAAGTAAGATCTTTACGCTGATATCGGTTATTTATTAAAACTATAACGGAATTCTTAAAAACGCCAGCTTTAAATTGCCGTTAGAAACTTAAACTTACAGTTTATCCTATACAGGCAAGAAATAGTGTAAGCATTTCTTGATTAATTACTAGTTTTGGGTATAAGTAAGAAGTATTGCGAACATTTCTTGATGAATTAATGCTTTAGAAAGTATTAGATAAAAAAGTTAGTTCCAGTGATGTGTTTCTGAAGCAGCATGGTGTAAGCACTATACTCTGTTGCAAGTTAAGAAAAGACCATTGTGGTATAGGATTTAAGTATAGTTCGTTCACCAGGAGTTGGCACTCGGCTCCACCTTCATCACGTAGTATCCGACGATACTATTTCGCTATTTTTTGCAGAAGGATGTGAACAATCTTGAACAAGGTTGCTATTTAGCGATCATATATCAAAAATGTTTATTTCGCAACCTTTATATGCATTTTTTAACTTTAAATATTTCATAAATTTAATATTTCTCTCTTTTGAATGAATAGTTTGTCCTTTTTGAGACATTTTGCGGCAATATATTTAATTAGCTTGAGTAGCGAAAGGTATAATAGCAGATGATAAAGCGAAGTAAGTGACTGAAAAAGAATTCACTGTTTGCGTTTGGCTCGCATTAAGGGTTGTCTCAATTTCAAACGCGGAGACGTTTCTTCTCTTACTCCCGCGCTGAAATGAACTATTCGTCCGAGGAGGTGGAGCCAAGTGCCAACTCCTGGTGAACGAACCATAATCATCTGCCTCTGCATATAGTTACGGTCTATTTCGTTATCAAATTATACAAATATGCGTTCAAAACAATATTCAATACTTTAGACAGAAATTTAATTCGTTCTATCTTTTACGATATGTATGATAGAATATTTGAAAATGGAAATAGTTCCGTAGTCATAATCCTAGGCTTTGCAGCATATTTCGATAAATAAAACCTTAACCTGGTGTTTGCAAATTTATTTTATAATATTTCTCGGTTTTTTCTAAAAATAAATTTATACCACATAAATTTATGTTTAATTTTTCAGTTAAGCCTTATTCTTGTCTTTGAAATATATAGCAAAACACTTGCTACTAGAGTTGGAAATAAACACTTACAAAAATGTTAAAAAGTTAATTTCTTTGGAAAAATATCAAACTTTTAGATATCTCAAACTTATATTAATTTCCCTTGACTTTTTGGTTCGGTTTTAACTCTAATTTTTCCAGATTTATAATTTCCTTACTTTTCCTTGTTCTATGGCTTGTTCTGCATTGCTATAAACTGAGATAAGCTAAAGAGTCATTACTTAAATGCCTACTACCATTTTAAAAGTAAGTAATAAATCAATAGGACTTTTTAATTAATAACAAAAAAAATTCGAAATATTAATTGTTGAACTTAGTAAGTGTAACTACGCGTTCTTATTTTTTCTGTGATTTACAAATGAAGCAAAAGTCAACGTTGTTTAAAGAAAGAAGACATCAAAATTAAATTCATTAAAAATAATCTTATAAAATTTTTAAAATAAATTTTTTTAAAAACTTGTTTTCTAAATTTTAAAATATTTTGCATTCTTTTGAAACTAAATAAAGAATAAAAGACAAACCATGTTAGCGACACCAGAATCTGTACAATCGAACAAAATAGTGACAACTCCCCAATCTGACATCTTTAAAGCTTTCTCAAGCCAATAAATGAAATACTGTTGTTGTATCTTTTTCATGTCCTCTTTTTTAAAATGGGTTTTGCAGCGAATTGCAACTGCGAATGAGAGGAAAAAATATTTTATTAATATGAATACAATAAGTCTTTAACGATCGTCTGTTTAATTTAGAGTGTTTGCATACCTACTCAACAGCTAAAATAAAATAACTGAAGCATAGGAAATAGGGTTTTTAAATTTTTTATTTTTCTACAATTGGAAACATGCTTTTTGTTATAATACATGTTTGCAATATTTCTGCAAGATGAACACTACGCTGTATTTGTTGAAACATGTTTCCGTCTCTTTCTTATCCTTTTATTTCCTCACTAGTGAGTTAACAATTTTGTGAGGATTCCACTAATTTTCCTTTTCTCCTGGTTTTTTTTTTATTTTAAAGGGAAGTAGATATTTTTTTTCTGAAGTTTAAACTACATTATGTGCAATTTACTTTTTAAAAACTTGTAATTGTAGCACTAATAATCCATTGAGGCAGAATTTTTATTAAACAAAGTTTTCATACTTTTTTTTCTTTATTTTGTATTAATTTGGGTCAAAATAAGTAAAAAATATTGTATTTAGCATTTTAATAATTTTTAATTATGAAATAACCCACGTAACATAGTTGTCTTTTTCTGCGTTAAAGGTAAAATCATTCAAACGCGGCTCTCTTTCTAAGCAACTTATTTTGCAGTTATTTAAATCTCATAGAAACATCATAGAAATTGCTTGAATTTACAAAATCAGCATTTTTGAATAAGAACGAAACCGTTCTTTTTCATACTATTTTCTTGGTTTTTATATTTTAGGGCAAATATAATTCTGATTATCTGACCGATTTTTTTTAATAACGATTAGGCTGTTTTCAATATATTTAAAAAATATCAAAACAAAGTAAAGAGATATGCATAAATTTTAATTACTTACTGATAGGGTGATTTCTGTGGTCTTGACCATACACGAGTACAGCTCTAACACTAAAATAGTCTCTGGGTAAATCTTTCTTCCTAAGTGCTGGAAGATAAAATTACAAGAATGAAATTTAACTCAGCATCAAAAGAGCTAAGTAAGTATACGTCACTTAAGTCTCGAGAATATTTATTTCAATTTTAAGTTTCCTGCAATCAAGTAAAGTGGCATAGAATGAATGTAATATTTGATTAATTTAAATATAAATATTGAATGTAAATATAAATGTATGTATTGCAAATATTGTATGTAATATTTAGAACTTTTTTTGCAAAAATGAAGTAAAAAAAGTATGCACATTAGGGAACGCAAATTGATATTTAAACGAGGAAAGGAATAAGAACTCTGTCTGTCTATTCAATATTAAAGAAAGTGGAGTGAAAAATAACAAAACCTGTTTGATTGCCGGAGGAAACAGAGAGGATGTGATAGTCGATTATTAGAGACATTCTCAAGTTTGATCAGTCAATCAAAATACACTGATGGAAAAAAAAATCTCACAACCAAGAAAAATTATTGTAGATTAGTGAGATTTCGGCAATGCGTTTGTCTGAGTAACATACTGAATTGAAAAAAGTTTCAAGATCACAGGTTAATACAATTAAGAGTAAAACCATTTGAGATGTGTCATACTGGTATATTAATAACCGGTTGACCACCAGAACTTTGCAATGCCTGTTTGCAAGCATGCAAACGGGCATGCATTGTCTCATACAGATGCCTTATGGCATTTTGTGATTTTGTGGGAGAAAGTACCATGACTGTTGCATTTGGTCAGTCAATACAGGATAGTGAATGCTGGTTGTGGATGACGCTGAAGTTGTCCTCCAATGATGTACCAAAGGTGCTCAATTGGTGAAAGATCTGGTGATCAAACTGGCCAAGGCAAGTTGTGGACTTTCTGCAGAGTATGTTGGGTTACAACAGCTGTGTGAGGACTAGCATTATCCTGTTGGAAAATACTGCTTTGAATGCTGCTCATGAATGGCACCAAGCAGGTTGAATCACCAGGTTGACGTACAAATATGCAATCAAGATGCGTGGAAAAACTACGAGAGTGCTTTTGGTGTAATTAGAAATTGCTCCCCAGACCATAATCCCTGTTGTAGGTCCAATGTATCTAGTCCGGAGACAAGTCGGTAGCAGGCTCTCCTTCTAACCAATATACAGCTATCACTGACAACAAGGCGGAACCGGCTTTCATCGGAAAACACAATAAATCTCCACTCTGTCCTCCAGTGAGCTCAAACTCGATACCTCACACGTCGTAAACGGCAGTGGTTTGGAGTGGGTGGAATGCAAGCTATAGAGCGTCTCGCTCTGAGCTGTGCTTGAAGTAGCTGATTTGTAACAATTCGTTGTGTCATCGCAGTGGCAAACGCAGCTCGAATTTGTGATGCAGACGCAGTGCGGTGCTCTATAGCCATACTCCGTACACGGCAGTTTTGTCTCTGAGTAGTGCCACGTGGCAGCCCAGAACTCGGTCTTCTTGAAGCAGTACCTTCCCTTGACCATTGCTACCAGCAATCATACACAATCCATTTTGTATGATTGTGTACCTCCCCAGTCTTTCTGCAATATCGTAGAAAGAAAATCCACCTTCTCGCAGCCCTATTACACGACCACGTGCAAAGTCAGTGAATTGTTGATAATGACTTTTTCGACTTCTTTAAGGCATTCTTGACAAACAGCAATTCATCAAAATTTAGCGAAAAATAACGCTTACGAACTGTAGAACACGTATTTAAAGCAACCCCGGTTTATACTTACCCAGAGGAGCTACTAGCGCCAAAATTATGTGCCAAGCGCGAAATTCGAATTAACATCAACTTTCAGTTGAATAAACAAGCCTACCAAATTTAGTTTATCAAGCACAACTTCTTCTTAGAATTGGGATTTTTTTCTGTCAGTGTAGTTTTAATGTTTTTCATAATGTTTTCCACTTAAGTGATTTTAAAAATTATAGTGTTCAGCTTTCGATAGCATTTTCGTTCCTACCAGCTTGTATATTTATTTGCGTATACTTTTTCTTAAAGTATACATTTTAGATTTTATTTTTGACAAGAATTCAAAATACTTGTATATTAAGAACAATTATTACGGAACATCTAGTATACAAATTATTAAAAATACGAAAACACTTTCGTAACATTAACTTTTAAACTATAAAAGTGTGAGTCATAAACAGAAACTTAAATAAAAGTTTAGGTAAATCAAAATAATTTACTGTTTACTCCCATTTCACTCCTGTGTTTCAGTGATTCGTTGAGCATGATGAGTGCTTTATCAACATCGCTCTCAACATGTAGGAGATACCGGGCAATAAACCAATCATTGTCTTTCACACGTTGCACGTCATCCGGATGGAAAATAACTTTCTCGTCTGCTGAAAAGAGAAAAGATGTTTTAATTGGAAGTAAGTAAGAAAATTTTTATTTGTATAAATTGAAAGAGGAAACAGTTATCAAACTTAAAATATTTGGTAAATTAATTTCAAGAATTTAATAAAGATTGACTTTTTATTATAATTAACATGACATTTGTTTCGAACTCGTGTTGTGGGGAACTATGCATTATTGGTTTAAAATAGTTTTTACCTTTAAAAAGAATGCTTTAATTGCTACGTGAATCAAAAAAGTAATTTAAAATTTTTTAATTATTTTAAATTGACTAATTACTTAATCATTACTTTAAATTGGGATAATTGCTGAAGCAAAATATCCTCAGTGGTAGACGGATCATAGGTTAGAGTTTCTTTGCCTTGAGGCTAAGCGTGGGAGATTTTCGTGGTTTTCCTTTCCATGTAATGTAAATGCAGGTTAGTTCCATCAAAAAGTCCTCCGCGAAAGCAAATTTTGATCCAGAAGTTCCTTTGACTTCTGGATTGGGTTCAAAATTAGAAGGAACATATAAGGAGGAACACATAAGTTGAACATTGGTAGTCGCAAACCCTAAATTGGATCGGCTATTCAACGACAGTTATAAAACGATCAATTGGAACTGACGTCATCGGTCACATTACATCGGTATATTTGAGTTTATTCCTCTTGAAGTGCAAGTATCCAATTAACTCATTTAATTAACTCATTAACTTAATTTTTTTTATAAAGCAACATTATAATCTAGCAACAGCCACTGGTATATTCTAATTAATTAGAAAATAGAGCTTCAGCAATTTAATTTGTACCACCACCTAATGCTAATCCTATGCGACATATTCAATTTTCAGACGTCTTTGCAGTTTTTTTTGGATCGGGGTCTAAAATTGCTTATTGTCCAAGTTTCAAGACTCTAGCATAAACAGCTTTGGAGTTATAAGAGAAAGAACCATAATCTAACTCCTTACTTTAATCTAAGAAAAATGATATAAAATAATGTAAAATTGTAAGATAAAAATCTGGTATTATCCAACAGGGAGAGATGTTAAGTATTAGCCAGCCATTATGAAATTATAACCACGACCATATGTGCCTTGAGGTAAAAATCAGTACACCAAAACATCGGAAAACTTGAGTTCAACGAATCAGAGTTGCACAATCGGGGGCCCCATCATCCTTTTAACCTTTAATCCAAACCTTTTCAGGGCTCTTTGCAATTGCTCTCACTCACGGTCAATGTCTCGATGTTGAAATGTTTCTCCAATCATAAGACGATGGACAGAATTGAATGAAAAAGTTTATATTCTCGAAAACAAGGTTTAAAATTACAGGGCTTTAACCTTTCTGTTTTGAGTGGAATTCAATTTTGTAGAAATTATGTATTCTTCTTTATTGGACTCCGATTAATGTGAACTTAGATTTTTTCTTCTTATTTTTAAATTTATAAATTATGTGAGATTGTTAATTTTAATATTTTTCTTCCCAAGTTGTAGAGTGTGCAATATATAAAAGATAATATAGTGAATAATAAAAAAAAGAAAACATGTTGATTTATTCGGATTCTTAACTCTCAAGATATTGGGGGTCGACCCGAGGTCATCCAACACCTCCTAGAAGTAGAAAGGCCTCAGCACGGATCAATTTAGTAGTCCGATGTGACGAAGTTAACTGCGTAGTAGACAAAAAATAAGAAAGATGTCATTACGTTAGGGGTACTAAGCTGCTCAGTGGTTGAAAATACAAAATATGTCATTACGTTTG